AATTTCTCTAAAAAAAAAGGGTTTCAGCCCCCCCCCCCCTGGGAACGTTTGATTATAGTAAGTTGGATCAAGAATAACAAAAATAAGGTGAACACGGTATTTGCTCCCATAGTGACTCGCCTGATTTCGAATTTGATTTTGTAAAACAGTGGTACCTGTGAGATTATGGTCCAAGGAAAAGTCGCGCACACACACACACACACACAAATATATATATACGTGGAAAATAGTCGTTAACTCTCTCATAGTGCTAGTCGGGAGCATTATGGGAGTAAGTACCCGAAAATGTGGAAACACGAGACCACGAGAGAAATATACTATGTTCTGTTAGTGTGTATGAACCAGTAAGAGATTGCCGGTTCAGAATCATCGAATTTTGCATTTATCGATCCGTAGTAGTTTTCATCGTGCAGATTTCTATAGCGATACGCGCCTTCTCCATTCAGTAGAGGGGCTAATCGATCGCCAACAGAGAGAGACGATTAATCCTCTGCAAATCCATGTCAGATTTACCCTCGTATTATATGTATATACATATATATATGTACAATATAGCCTGTGTGTCGTGATTACATTTCAACGCAACCAGTTGAACGTTAATTAACAATAATATTATGATTTCTCTAAGCTTAACGTTTCATCGTTTGGGTTTCAGACTTAGACACACATCCGCGACCAACAGCCTTTGAGCGTATAGTTGGTTCAAGGGCCAGTTGTCGTAACAGCTTTTATATGTTTGTCACCGAAGTCTACAGAATCAATATTATTAATTGAAAATAACAATATTTACACAACTTTTGGTAACCGTTACTTCTCTGTATTATAATGTTTCCAAACGGAATCGGAGAGTCTAGGTCCGCGTAGGCTCGAACAACTGCTATTAAGGCTGCACAAGCGTTACAATTCACACCTGTTTCACCAATAATTCCCTGAATTTTCCCCAAAAGACGACTCTGCTGAAGAGCAAGTGAATCAGGCACGACCCTACCACAGGATTAAGTGTTTCACACACACACACACACACACACACACGCACACTACGAGAAATTATTAACGAAAAAACTTTACAGTGAGTAAGTATATTTACAATGTCATTTTTTGTCAACAATACCACGATCGTGAAACCGTCCTTTGTATAAAAAAAAAATTAAAACACAGTGCAGAGGATTAACGGACGATGTTCACAATAAAAATACGGTCACGGCATACGTTTTTTTACACAATTACAAAAAAATAATGAAACACGATACGATTAAACAATAATAATCTGCGGGCAGAGTAAACGTGAAATTAATCGCAGAAAAAAGAAAGAAGAGATAAAAGGAATGTTGACGCGCCCTCTGCTGATCGGCCTGGATCAATTAACATTTCGGTTAACGTGTCTTAAACTTTATTTTATATAATAACAATAATAATAATCGCTAGTAATTAATTAAAAATTAATAATATATATATTTATGTGTGTGTATATATATATATTATTATTATATATTATATTCCCTACGTGTACTTGTTATAATCGATAGTCAATTATCCTTCGAATTTGTTCCTTTTCTTTTTCTAGGTTTCAATGCGTCAAATATATATAAAAAAAAAAAAGAAGAAAGAAAAAAGAACTCGAATATGTCTTCTCACGATTGCAACGGTCGCGTTTTCAAGTGTCAATTGTACATTGTGTGTAGTTATTCTGTTGATAACGCAATCTGCACCCGAGTATATACAAGTTGTATCCAAAAAATGACTACCCCAGATTAACACGAAAGGATGAAGTTTTTGCAAAAAATGTTTAATATACAAGTTCTAGGTCAAATTTGACCAATATGTCATGTTCAAGGTCACCATAAGATGCCTCTTTTTAAACCCTAAAACTTTCGTATCAAACATTTTTTTGCTAAAACTTCATCATTCCGAGTTAATCTGTGATACTCAATCTTTTTAGTACACCCTGTATACATAAGTATGTACTTATTTATCCTTATAACGTCATTTTATTCGTTCCTCCATCTATCTCTCTCTTTCTCTCTGCTCATAGAGACGAGAACAAGATTCTTCCAACTCGGCCCGACGCAAGTAGAAATATAATTTTCTTTCACGTATCTCTTTCTCTGTGGGATCAAGTTGTGATCCACTATATTTATATATGTATACACGAACGGAACACGCCATTTCGTGGATTACGGATCCACGGGATCAATTGTTTCTTCGTTTTTTTTTTTTTGTTTTAATTAGCACCGTGGTGATGGGCTCCGTCCGTTATATTTTCACCATATTTTTCCACATCAAGCCGTAGGTAAAAGCAAGATGTCTTCGGAACGAAAGAAAATTTAAATCTACCGATATATCCAAGGCTCTTCTTTCTCCTCGTAGATCCACGATCCACGGAGCAGCGGCCGTGACGTACTGGAAAAAATTGCTTTCTAATATAAGTCTCTCGGCGCACTTTTCCCTCTGCGTGGGGATATACTTGTTATCTTTAGGGAAAGGGGGGTGGTGGCTAGGTGGGGGTAGTTATCATCAAAAAGACACACCACTCTAGAGACTCCAAAATGGTAGAGGAACCAGACGAAAAGCGTGTACACTGATGGAACAAACCCTCGAATGAAGAACACACTTGAGAACAGCAGAAACACAACTCGATGTGAGTGACAAGGCGTTCTATGTACAGTTTCTACATTTCTCATTGCGAAGAATCCTGATAGCCTTTCTACAGGGCTCGAGAGTTCACTTCAAGATGTTTGAGCACCGTCTACAGAGGTGGAGAATAATCATGCCGCCATGTTGTTCCAGTGCCAATGGTCACCCCAATGGCCTTCCAAATAAATCACTACAGAATTATTTACAGAAACCTGCAAGTGGACCACCGAGGTTTCGGTGGTCTCTTGATCAAACTTTGTTGAAAACATCAGAACACAGGGTTCCCAAAGTTGCTCGGCTCTGCCTCTTTGTCACACGCGGTTTCTCTGGCAGTGGAAACGGGGTTAAGTCGACGTGTGTGGTAGAGTACATTAAGTGGGTCGTTCAAGAGGAACAGAGAAACACAACGACGAATTCAATACGGCTGACTCCGTTCAGATATGGATTTAAACGGTTTGAAGTAAGTTGCCCAGTTTCTTGTTCTTGTGAAAGGGCCCACGAAACAATATGGCCGACGACATTTTGCTCTATGATACGTTTGCACAATGAAATCTTGGTCCACGGAGTGAGCGTAGTTGTTTTAAGTAGTACGAGTCAACAGGTGGTCAGACGTGTAACGCGTTGACGATCTTGGGTTTAGACACCGTCGTGAAATCCTCTGGATATATTATATATACATACACAGTAGTACAAGATTCCATTGTCCCTCTGGCGAACGAACGGAAGAAAGGGAGAGGGCCAGCGACGAGATCCGGATATCCGACGAATTAAGTACACACGTCCTTCGCCATTTTGCTCGGTTCCTTCCCTTGTTTAAGTACTTCTGCACCTCTCTCTTTCTTTCTTTTTCTCTTGATACCGTCAAGGTGCATCCCTCTGGGCAGCAACAAAAAACTGGGAGCGCAGAGTCGCTCTGAGAATGGACGAGAAAGAGGAACACTGTACAGAGGCCTAAGTGTTTGTGAGAACCAACCCTAACTTGTAACACAGAGTGTCGTGTGTGTGTGTGTGTATAAAAGGAGGGATAAAATTTCGAGACAGATGTCTGCACCGTGTGGTGGAAGGTCAGAAGAGGAAGAAACGCTTTCTGAGAATACTGTACAGCATCCGAACGTGGACAACCGGTTTGACAATCATTCGACAACTGCCGGGGAGGGACAGTCGCAACGTACGAGGCAAATCTTAAAGTATAAGTAAAAAAAAAAAAAGAAAATGGCCGCAGTGTCCACCTATACGGGGGAACAGTCGAGTACACAACGACTGATAATATATCAAACGACGGGGTATCGACTGTCTGGAGGTGGGGGGCCACGGACACCGCGAGAAGCTGAGTATCATACATGTATATGTATACGTACAGGCTGAGTGATCCTGTATATACAGATAAAGTCAATCAGAACTACTCTAAAATAACTCGTTACTGATTGATTGTACCCTCGTAAGCAAACTCGGTTTCCGCTAGGGGAAAAAGTGATGTAATAGGGAATTATGCCAAATTAACATTCGGTTTAACATTTATTTGAGTACTTAAAATAAATTTATCGAACGGTAGAATACCCTTACCCCTAGATTCCTTTTCGCCCTAGAGAAAACCATGAATGAATTACAGACTCCTCTCGATTATTGTCCAGGCGTTATCCTCACCACCTTGGGGGTGGGAGGCGCATCCAAATGGATACAATTTGATTTTTTTATATTTTTTTTTTGAGGTATTAAGGCGACCTTGAGTTTAATCAAGAGCAAAGCATCTTGTTCTTAACAACATAGTATTAAAAATTAGATGCAGTGACCTTGGAAAAACTCAAGGTCACCCTGACATCTCAAACACAAAAATTACATTCTATCCATACGATGCGTCCCTTAAAATGCTACATAATTCATTGAAACGTTTCTTGACACAATCAATAGGTGACGAGTTACTTTAGATAGTAGATATTATCGACTCACCCTGTATATGTGTTTGAAGTGACAGAGCGTGCTCCGTACACCGAACGATCCCCGATTTTCCCCGTTGCTCCATTCTCGTCGGTTGCAGATCTTATCCATCGATATTAAAATCGTGCACGATCATCCTCCACACACACACACACACACACACATGCGCGCGCGCGCGCATACGTCAAGGATCGCTCGGCGTACAAAGAGCATTTCTCTTCTACACAGTTAGACATCACTTGTGTGGCAAGGAGTAGCCTCCCTGCTGAAGAGATACAACGACAGAGAATATCAAGAGACGAACAAACTAAAAAAGAAAATTAAAAACAATACAGGAGAAAGAGAACGGAAAAGCGGTTCGCTGGTACGCTAGACAAATATATATATATATGTATATACGCAGAGGACAGAGAAAAAAAAAACTTGGGGAGGGGGGGGCGAGCACACGACGAAATTTGGATGAGAAAAAATATATATATAAACGAAAGTTAGGGGATTGGAGAGTTTCTGAGAGGGCAGCGGCGGCGGGGGTGGTGTATATATAGTGTAACGGACACGCAAAGCTGCCTTTAAATGCTGGTCTCATGCACGAGTTTCGTCAATTCCGGGAGGGCCAGATTATTGGAGCTGAGAAGCGGGGAGTTTCCGGTGTTGTTGCTGTCTCTGGTGTTGCTACTCTGCAGCTGTTGTTGCGTATGGTTTGGGTTGTTGTTGGCGCTATTATTGGTTCTATTGTCATTGGTGGTGTTGTTAATGGTATTGTGATGGTTGTACGGGTTGTTGCCCTGTGTCCCAGACACGGTCAGCAACAACGGCGACGTCGAGCTGTTGTTGGTCCTGTGTGCCTGTTGCTGGTGATAATGATGATTAAGATGATGGTCCAACAATTGTTCCGCTGCGGTGATCCTGTTCGACAATTTCCCCGTCATCGTGTTGTTCGCCGTCTGGCCGGTGTTTGTCGGGTCTTCGTCAATGTACGTGAAGTCGGAGAGTGGTCGTGGCCCGGTGTGGCTGCGTGAGCTGCGCATACTGTGTAAGCTGTGTAAACTATGGACAGAGCGACGCTCCTCCAAATCTTCCAGAGTCGACTTGAACGCTCTGATTACTCGAAGCTGCAAAAACAGGGAAGAGGATTGTCTATCAGGAAGCGAGGAGGCAAGCCAGCGACACACAAGCACGCCATAACTCGAGTATGTGTGTGTGTGTTCGTATATTGTATTATATGTGGGCCTGTATATATATGCGTATGTCGGTTGCTGCTGGCACAACATATATGTATATACAGGCTGAATCAGTAGAGTGAGAAAGGGACACAGACCTGTGAACACGCTCTGATTACCAGTTGTGTACAAGTTTCGAGCAGATTCCCAGGAATAAATGACAAAAATTGTCTAAAATATTGCATAAAACCTGTAGCGATAACTTTAATAACAGGCATTGGACAAATGATTATTCTCTCTCGAAATACTGTCGTCTAACGGTCAGAGGCGTTCAGAGATTAGTTTCACTCCTGCACTCTAACTCGGCCCTGCATATACATATATCTTTTTTCTGTTGCTGGTTATCTGGATGACGGTGATCGATGCACACTGTTCCCGTCGATGGTGTCTGCTACACCCGGTTCTCTTGCGGGATTCTCCGTTTGTTTTCTGTGTGCGTATACGTGTATTCGTTCTCTCTAAATGCACGGTGTTTCCGGGGAGTGCAGATCGGGACCGATTCTCTTCGCCGGACGTTGTTGGACTTGGTTGCATTTCACACGAGTTCAGCACTTACTACTACAAACAGCGGCTGCGTTTCAAGGTCGAGAAGGGGGGGGGTTAAGGGAACGACTAGAGGCGGTTGCTAACTGTAGGCCGTGAAAATGTTTGTTTTTTCGTTTCAGTTTTCTTTACTGTGGCTTAACATGCGCGCGCATCTACCTTACTGTGCGTAGCTACTTGCGCTGTTTGGAGAAGCCGCAGGGATTCGCAAGGTGGCGGGGTTAAACAAACGGGGATTCGAGTCGTTTACACACAGTTCCCTGGACGCACGTCATTGAGCCTGAGAGCTCGGTCCAGAGCCTATTTGACCTCTATCACTAAGAAAGGACATGCAGAGTGTCTTTGAGAATAGAACGTTCATACACCTTAACAGTTTCCTTCGGATCTCGAGGTCAAAACTTGTCAGGATTGATCGTTTCACTCGAGGACACCCTGTATATATAAATACATGTGAGCAGACTTGGGCCCGTTAGAAACGATAACGGGGGACACGGTTCTGTTAACTCTTCTCTTAAGTATCCTCTAAAATTGGATTCCTTAAAAGTGGCACAGAGCCTCGTTAGATGCTCGTCAACGGTCCCCCATATAATAGGGGGTTGGCCCCTATGACCAATTTTGACACCAAAAAGGGTGTTCAAACCGAATGGGTCCAGGACACCTTGCATCACAGGAAATTCAGTTGTTGTTTTTTTGGAGAGCATCAAGGTCCCTCCGGGAGGACGAGTCAGGCGAGGGTGGTTTCGAGGGCTTAGAAACCTAAACCCGTCCTGTCCGATTAGGAATGGTCCGCGCGCGCGACAGTCCTGAACCGAAACACACCGGAGCAGGCTAGTTTTGATGAAGCGCACGCTTGAACCGCGCGTTACCTTGCGTCGACCACGACGAACGTAAATGGGCGAGAGATTACAGAAGGTGTGTGATAAAAAGCTTGAAGTGATGAAATGGGAAGATTGTGTGTGTGACGTTCTGAAAAGAAAGACAGATAGATAGAGAGACAGACAGACTGGAAGAATAGAGAGATAGATAGAGACACAGAGAGCAATTAGTGAGATAATACTTGTAGACACTCGGTGTGTGGTCATGCTATTCAACACAACTTCACCATTGACCAAACCCCGTTCCCCAAAACGGGGACATATCTCAGTCAGTTTTCAACCCCCACATTTTAGATCTAAAAGCTGTTCCTTATGTTATACTCGATACAATCTCAGATCCCTGAAGTCAGGGACTTCCCTCGGTTTCACCCACATTCAAGGGGAAAACTATACAGTACAACTGTCACCTTAAATCGAAGCACCATTTGTTCAGGCTTTCTCACGCGCGTAGCGAAGGCTAGAGAGCAGTCTCTCCCCTTCGATCACCATGGAGGAACCCCCCATAATGCGCGTGTGTCGCCTAGATAGCACCGTGACACGAGCCACACTAGAAGTTTCTGTTCAACGATAAACCCTCAGGGGAGGGGAGTACACACAACAAAACCACTGCAACAAAGTCAAACCCCTTTCTATGCGCCACTCGCGGTTACGAACGATGGCCGTATGTATGTTAGAGAGGTTCGGGCAAACAACACGCGCACACACCACCACCAACAGCAAAATTACGTGCACACACACACGCGCGTACAAACATACACTCGCACATTGAACGACGTGAAAGAGAATTTAGTAAGGGACACACTTCTTTCCAGGCTCTGCTAGGCCTGGTCCCCCAAGGACACCTTCAAAGGTTAGGATATGGGGGCATGAAGCAGGTTGGAAACACGCGCTTACGGACAAGAGCAGCCTCCAGATTCGTCTTTTATAGGGGAGCCATACGCAACAAAAAAAAAAACACAGAAATAAGCGACGCGGTGGCGTAGGTGAAAGAAAGAATTTTCTCGGTGGAGGGGGCTGTGAACACACTCTGGTCAAAATGGACAGACACGAATCACACGGCCGCCACGAAAAAGATGCTTGTTTTTTCGTCTAACCCATCGCATTGTGGTGTCGTTAAAGACAGAACATGGAACGACGCAATGGGACGGAGGATATACACGTAGCACACAATCATGTCAGACAGCTAGACTACTTGAACAAGGAGCGTGGGCGATCGGTACGGTCGCACCGATTGGCCCGCACCCCTTATAAAAAAACAAAGAACACAGTGCTGTGACGAAACATCGGTCACTGCAGCATCCGTGCGACCGATCGTCGTCGTCGTCCTGGTCTGATCGTTGGATAAAATAGGGAAACGAGGTCAAAGGTTCAAATTTTTCTCCTCGTGTTAACACGTTTCACCCCCGTCAGACTATGGTTCCTCATGAGCCATTTTTACAAACAAAATGAAAACTGTTTAAACCAAGATTTGACAAGACTCTCATAATTCTATTACTGCAATTTTCTGACTTGCCTAAATCAAACACAGCCAAAAGCTTCTGTAATTAAAACAGGAATGACAATTAGAGTTTGTTACTTCACGTCACTAGATCATATTTATTTTCCATTGAGAGAGTATAATCTTTTTACCAATTCGATTCAGTCCAGTCTGACAAGCAACACGTGTTAACGAATCTAATGACAGAGAAAGGCTTAAGGGCGTTTGGACAACGAGAAATGTTGCGCGAACAAAAACGCTGAAAACCAGGCTCGACTGCGACGGGGTGGTTTCGAGCGGCACACAATTTACGTACGTCGACGATCCGTCCTGTATTATTGATACATATGCGTACGTACGGCAAAAATGTTGACGATACAACGTATTATTTAACGGCAGGCGATCTACATGAGCTACGTACTTGTTTGTACTCCGACAGGATAAGTGTGGCGGCGGGCAAGACTGCCGCCCCGTTATACCTCAGTCTCCCGAATGGGTTCCGCTGGCTAACAAACCACAAATCATACCATCAGTCTTAATTTCTATTCCTCTCGTTAAACAGCATTACTTTTACAGCTTTGTTGTTTTTGTATTTTAATATTGGCGCTTGCGTCAGTATTTTTGCAAATCCCATACACTGGCTTGTGTGTGTCTGTGCGTATGTGTGTTCTCGTTTCAGTTGGTATGCATACTGTGCTTCCTAAAGCTTTGGGAAGCCTGTTCGAAGAAGCTTTGTGGGTTTGCGTGTTCATGCGAGGCTCCTTTGGGCTGGCTCTGGGAGTCCTGGAGGCTTCCACGGACAAGAATATTCAAAATTGATGATCCCAGAATCTTCATCTGTGCACGATTCAATTGTAAAAGGTCAGATCACAAAATATATTTGTATTCCCGATAACGTAACCTATTCTTGCATACGTGAAAGTAATAATCCAGAACTAGATGAGGCAGAGTCTTGGTAGTCAGTAGAGTCTGAGTCCCTCCATCGACTTCATAATCTAATTAGAGAATTTATGGAGCTATCCAAAAATCTATGGAATCTATCCAAAAATCTTACAGGAATCTCTCCCGATGTGCTTTCTTTTCAAAGACCATTAGCCTCCAGTCCTAATCCAGATGTCCCATCAGCGAGCCTCCAGTGTATATGTGTATGTAAACGTGTGAACTGACTGCCAGTTTTGTATATCCCCGTGTGAAGAGTTTCGCTGAGCTTCAACAATCGTGTACACAACAGACAGACAGACAGACAATTGGACAAACAAACTGTGTGCACATACATCAGCAGACGCACGCACATTGAGAGACACACGATGCATTTTTTGGCGCATACCACAGCATAACATACACGTTAATGGTACACATATACATATATCACAGCAACGGCACACTGCAACGACAAAGAACAGAAAATATATGAGACACAGGAGAAAGAAATCCGCCAACGGGGACACCGTGGGCTTCGTTCCTCTGTTGGATTAGCTGCTGGGGATTGGAGTTGCTTGGATGCAGTTAGAGGTTAGATGTTTTGTGGCTGATTGTTCCACAAAGCTCTCAGAGGCACGAGCGTTTTGGCTTCTGTGTGTGTATATATATATATATGTGTGTGTGTCTGTCGCACAATTAGGAGATTTCCGTCCGCATGCAGAGCTTTCACACGCATAGCACACATACAAGGTACTCTTGTGGGCGGTCGAGGACACGGGGGGAGTTGTTTGTTCGCACAGGTGCATCTCTTGTGAAGTTGAATATACATAACTGACGTCCAGGAGGTTAGCTTCTGCGAGAGAGAAACTGTTCCGTGGCTTTTGAATGGGCATGATACGGCTGGCCTTATTGTATAATATGTATATCTGTCTCTTGGGCATGCTACTCTGTCAACACTGGCAAGCCAATGATCCAGAATAACCTGGTTAGTGTCTGGACGGTACGATGATTACTTCATGACGGATTATATTCGTGTCTCTTCCGTTGCGAATCACCGGTTATGATTAAGAAATGTC